GTGGCCAGCTCAGCCCACCAGGGTGCGGGCTGGCTGGCATGTGGTGCTGGGGGATTGAACCGTGGTCCCTGTGCTTCGCTGAACTTGTTCTAAGTAGGTGCTTTAGACCACTGAGCCATCTCTCCAGCCCTCGAAAATATTCTATAGAGTACACGGGACAGAAATATAATCTCAAAACAAATAATATTTACTGCCAAACAGTGTATTTAAGAGGAGGCTAAATATGCTATCTATATGAATCTTTAAACCAATGTATAGGTTCAGAAATATTTCAGTTTCTGTTTATGTAATTTCTAAATTTGATTAAGAATTGGAAATTAAAACATCATCCTAAATCTTCATTAATAATTTTTTTTAAAGGTATGAAGAACAGTGATGAATTCTTTGAGAGGTAAATATTTCAAGACTTAATTCATTACCTTGCTTAAATTTAGACATAAATATGTGTTCTGGAGATTTTTTTCCTTATAAATGTCAACTTCTAGATTACACTTCTTTTGGTTTAAAGGAATGTAATAAATTTCTACTTGAAATGCTGTGTTGTAAGAAAGTAAAATGTATTTTCTTTTTTTAATATTTATTTATTTATTTATTTATTTATTTATTTATTTTGTGTGTGGCCAGCTCAGCCCACCAGGGGGCGGGCGGGCTGGCATGTGGTGCTGGGGGATTGAACCGAGGTCCCTGTGCTTTGCTTTGCTTGGCTTAGCTTGTTCTAAGTAGGTGCTTTAGACCACTGAGCCATCTCACCAGCCCCTAAAATGTATTTTCTTAAAATATGTTTTAAGGAAGTAAAACATGCCTTACAATTATAACATAAGTAATTACAAAGATACAGGCTATATTTGCTACATTTGTTTTACTGAGTATTCATTAAATTTTAGCAAACAAGATTCACACAGATCTCATGGGCCTAGAGTTTCTTTTTTTAAAGCATCTATGAAGTCATCTTACTGATGCGTATGTTTTCCTATGAGAGATAACAGAATTACAGAAATAAGAGTAGATGTTCACCATTTTCAAATTCATGCTCTTAAAGGCCTGGTTTTGCATGTTTATGTTTGCTTAATGTAATTAAGGTATAGATGGTGACTTGTCGTTCTCTAATTACGTTTTTAATTGAAGTGTTTCAGTAGATCCACTCCAGATGACGGGCTTGACAGATATTGCAGACATTGTTGATGACCTCATAACTCACTGTGGTGTTTCCAGTAGAGAACTTGGCTTGACAGAACAACAAGCTAGGACTCTCTCCAGGTAATCATTTAAGATACTTCATTTCAGTAGTTGGTTTTGTTTTGGGGTGCCAAGGGTGGAGCCTTTGGCCTTGTGAATGCTGAGCACATGTCACTGGTCCGGCACCCCTGGCTACTAAGTAATTCATTTTCAACCAACTTAAAATGTTTTTAGTTCAAGAATGTTTAAAATCGGCCACATTTTAGTGTAACTTTTATGAAACAAATGTGAAGCTTCTCCAACCATCTATGGCTGGCTCATTTAGCTAGCACAGCACCTGTATAGCCTGTTAGCTTTCCCTAGGTCTCATCATTCTAAGCTCAACGTATAGTTGTTGCTTATTAGAACTAATGAATAGTTTAGCTCTTGTACTTTATCCTAAATATTAGCCCTTAGGATATATTTAGAACAGCCTTCCTGTGGACCATTACAGTTCCTGAGTAAAATGGGGGCTGACTCTTCTCATGCTTCCCTGAGAGTTTACCTAGCTCTTGGTGTGCTCATATGGTCACCTGAGGGGATTCATCTGTTTCCTAGTTGAATTCTATCCACCGCCTTAATGAAGATGTAGTGTGCTACAATTAAAGTCACAGCATATTACCTGACAATAGTGCATCAAAAAAGATGAAAGAATATTTCTATTTAATTACTGGAATTTATCATAAATGAGCTGTATTTATGGCCTTGTATTAAGACCACGAAAATCCTAACTTGCTAAACCAGTGCACTTAGTGAAGTCCTAGTTATTCTTTTTTTCCCTGAAGTTAATGATCCATGTTGTAAATATTTCACCAGTATGTGAAATGTCAAAAATTAGAATAAAAATGGAGAACAACTGGTAAGACCCAGGAATACAAGTGAGCTATGGGAAGAAAGTCGGAGAAAGCAGCTTCCTCAGTTCAGGAATTTGATCTGTCAGATCAGTAGAAATTCTAGCCTGTTAAGACGTAATGTCATACATGAAGTTCGATGGTAAGGACAGGAGTTAGATGTGGCTAGAGTTTGTGCATGGAAGGGAGTGGGACAAGCCAGGAGGGGACCAGAGGCATTTGCCGAGCTCACCTCATTGGCAGGCAGCAGGGGAGTCAGCAAGGGTCTCAGCCTCAACCTGGAGCCAGTTAAGACTGCTCTGGAGTGGGAGATGAGGTGCTTAGAGTGCAGAGTGCAGGTCACAGGGCTGAGAAAACGCTGGAATCTGTCAGAAGGTGACGGTGACAAATTTTGTTGGATTGACTAAATTGATAGTGATTTTAGCAAGTTGAAGAATGTAGTTTAAGACATAAGGTAGGTACCAGGAGGCTATTCAACTAGGAATACATCAGCTTAAAGTCATTCGAGAACCTGATGCCAAGAGGAGGTTTAGATGAATAAGAGCTTTATTTAGAGAAATGTCTGGGAAGGGAATGGGAAGGAGCCATACAAAGTGGGGGCCAGCTATCAGACTGCACTGCTGCTGCGGATCTGACTTTGTGCTGGGAGATCCCCAAGATCACTGCCAGGGGCAGCATTTTGCTAGGAGGTTCACAAAATTTAGCATATACTGTAGTCATGTTTATAGCAAGAATTTATCCCAGCAAACGGGATCAAAGCAAAATCAGCACAGAGAAAAGGTTCACTGGAACGAATTCCAGGGGAAAATAGGCACAGGCTTCCCAGAAGAAGACATACCTAACTTCTAGTACCAAGTTGTGACAAAATGTGAAATGTCTGCCAGGCAAGCATATTAGGTTCCTGTTGGTTTTATTAGGGGTACTGCTTGCCATATTCTGCGACCCAGACTATTGAGAAGGAAAGTAGTATCCACAGTAAAGCTCACTGTGTGTATCTGTGACCCCCATTCCATCTTGCAGGGTGTCTTCACGCCCTGGGTGATGCATCTGCGCCCAGTGTCCATCTCCAAGCACCCATTTTCTCAGTCAGTAGTGGTACCATTTGCATTAGTTTAGACCCCTTGAGAAGCAGAAGGCAAGATGGGATGGGAATGATGTACAAAAGATTTGTTGGGCACATGGCTGTGAGCAAAGGGGGAAGGAAAGAGTTAGGGAGCCAGGGTCTCAAACTGCAGTGTAGTTCTAAGAACATTTCACCCAGGCTGATGATAAGGCCCCAAGCCAGTGTCATCCACAGAGCTGCAGAAACAAGCCAGTCACAGCAATCCTGCCCAGTGGCTGGAAGATGGGGGTAGATGCAGGACAGCTCAGAAGTCACTTCTCTGTATGAGTTTTGGAAGTGATTGAGATAGTCTAGGGATCATAAATAAGGAAGTTCAAAAGAAACCATATTAGTACTGAAGTCATAGAGAAGGAAACCAATGTACAAGGCTATATAGTGTTTTGAGAAATAGGAAAGCATAAAAGGTAAGATGTAAGAGAGTTTAAAGAGAAAAAGAATTTAAAGAAAATGTTACAGGGAAGTTGTTGGTACCCCTCTGAGACTATTTTGTGTGGAATTCAGGGAATGGATTGGAACAAGTTGACTAGACTATACATGTAGACTACCTTTAAACGTGCAGCAAAACCTTTCCAAATGAATAGTTTAATTTAGTCACAGTAGTTCTCATCAAGGCACAAATTTAAAAGCAAATAATGCCTTACATGTTCAATTTTTCAGGATTCCGCATTTGCCTGGCAGATGCCCGCAAAGAACTGAGAAAGAGAAAAGAGAAATTCGACTTTGGATGAAAAGAAAAAGAAAAGAAAGAATGGCAGAATATTTAAATCAGCTGGCAGAAAAAAGGGGACAAGAGCGTAGTCCTTTCTGCCCCAGAAGGAATCCAGTAAGTCTTCTGTGTCATGGTAATGCAGTTGACACAGGGCACATGTAGTTTTTCCTAGCCAGCATTGGCAAAAAGTTTGACATAACTTCAGTGCCTTTTTATTGGAAGATAGAAGAGACATTTTACGTAAATCAGGAAAGCTTAAGAAATAATCTTGCCAGGAGGATAGCAGCCTAAGAGCCTGCCTGGTAAGCACAAGGTCCTGAGTTCAATCCCTTGTATCAAAAATGAAAAGAAATCATGTTCACCCTGTGCCACACTGGCCCCACCCCCCTGGTGCACTGAGCCACTGGAACCCGGTATAGTGATGTGTTCCTGTAATACCAGCCCTGGGGAGGCTGAAAACAGGAGGATTGGGGCGGGGAAATGGATTAGTGGAATAAACACTTCCCTGGCAAGTGCAAGGGCTGGAGTTCAATCCCTGGTTCCACCAAAGAAAAAAAAACAAAAAACAGGAGGATCACTACAAGTTCAAGCTGCATAGTGAGACTGCAGCAAATACACAAAAAAGAAAGAAAGCATATTAACAACCGTGTAGCAGGATATAGTGCACACTTGGGCCGGGGAGATGGCTCAGTGGAATAAGCGCTTCCCTGGCAAACGCAAGGACCTGAGTTCAATCCTTGGTTCCACAAAAAAAAAAAAAAAGTCACAGGATATAGTGCACAATGTGTTTACTGAGTGATCTTAAATTTTTGTTTCCATCTGGCTAATTGTGGCTCTGTTGTGTTAACCAAATAAGGAGGTTGATAGATTGGGATACCAGTTATTTCTTTAATTTTCAGTGAGTCAGTGGAGTTAAATGAACAACTGACTGTGTTTTTATTAAAAGCATTTGCAAAACTTGATTTCCTATCTATTAGTTACCTACAAAGAACACAAAATATAAAAATTATGGTCTAATCCTGTACCCGCAGCAGAGCAGTGGCACTTCTGTGTGAGATTTCTTTCTTTTTTTTTTTTTTTTAATGCCTTTTAAATGTCAGCATTGATTCACTGAGCCCTGTATATGGATATCCCAGGACCAGGAGTATTCTTTTCTTTACTTTTTAATAAAGTTACTGTAAAAATAACCTTTATATTATAGACTACAGTTTATCTACTTTTAATTTGAAATAGTACTTGATTTTTAAAGCATTTCTAGGAAACAAATTGAGTAAGTGAATTTACTAGGTAAGACTGTCCTACTTAGGCTCCACGTGATGCAAAAGTAGGTCAGCTGTTATTTAAATATGTAATTTACTTAACTGGTCTCTAGAAAGAGCAGGTTGAGCTCTCAGGAGCTATACCTATTCAACAAATTTTCCTATTCTTAAAAAAATAATAATCTCTAAAAGTACCTCAACACCCTACAGGTTTAATCTACTTTTTCCTAAGACTAAATCTGTAGTATCTGAAGGAAGTGATCCTCAGATTCTCGTGGAGATTTGAATAGGCTTATCTCCAGCAATCAGAGTCATCCATTGAGCAGTGGAGAGGACTAATCTCTGCTCCGTGAGGCAGAAGGGACTCAGAGTCCTTTAGAGACCTACTGAGGACTGGAGCTGCCAGCCTGAACTAGGAATGCCTTGTTTGTTGGGCCTGGAGTCTGGCCAGCATCCCTTTTCCTACCAGTGAGTTACCATCTTTGTGATGTTTAGCCCAGTGATTTCCTTTCCTCCACCTCTCAGCCAATGAATTCTGCCCCCTCACTCTGCCTGAGCACGTTTCCCTTGTGTACTCACTTGCGTTTCCCTTTGCTGCCCGCCCAACTTGGCTCCTCTCTACCGTGGAGTTACCCTGCTGCTTCAAGATACCTTCTGCCCAAGTAGACTTTCCCCAGTCATATCCCCTGTGGGTGGCTCTCATGGGAACCAGCCAGTGAGTTCGTCACTAGGGTGTAAATGGGGAAGAAGGACAAGACAGATAAGTTTGAAAGAGGGGCCAAGGGGCTCTTGCGTTTAGTGCACAAAGAGCTCTGAGCTTACTTTTATTTACTTAGACATGGGAGTAGTCAGGTAGCAGCAGATACATCTGCCTGCTGTTATCTATGCTGTATGCCAGCCTGTGAACAACCAGACTCAGCTGTGTTGACTGTTTTGTTTTTTTCTGGCAGTACCAGGGATTGAACTGAGGCCCTTGTCCTTGCCAGGGAAGCACTTACTGCACTGAGCCATCTCCCCGGCCCCTGTGTTGACTCTTGCCTAGAAATGCAGTGTGCTAGTATGCCCGCATGCTCATTGCCAGAGGAGCGCCGTTGTTGTCTCCTTGCTTAGGCCTTGATCCTCATTGTCTAGTCTCCTACTGAAAGGACACATGCAACTCAAAACAAAAATCTCCTCCCATCATTCTTTTTGATGTGGTGATGAAGATTATTGAACCTGTAATGCAAACGCTCTACCACTGGGCTACATCTCCAGCCCCACAACAAGTCTTTTAAAAAAAATTTTTAATTTCAATTTTTTTTTGGGGGGGGCAGTACTAGGGATTGAACTCAGGCCCTTGCGCTTGCCAGGGAAGCACTTAATCCACTGAGCCATCTCCCCAGCCCCTCAATAATTCTTAATATTCCTCTTTGTATGTTTTGTATACTGAGCCTTTGTTGCTCATGTAAAACTTCTGTGCGGGTCATCTTTTTTTTTTTGTTTTTGTTTTGTTTTGGTTTTTTGGTGCTTTTTAGTAAACTAAGGGTTTTTTTGTTGTTTTTGGGGGGTGTTTTTTTGGCAGAACCGGGGATTGAACTCTGATCCTTGCGTTTGCCAGCTAAGCGCTTATCCTACTGAGCCATCTCCCCAGCCCCAACTAAGTTTTAAAATTAAGAGAATTATTCAGCTCAGACTCCTAGTGATCTTCCTATCTCAGCCTCCCCAAAGCTGGGATTAAAGGCTTTGAGCTACCATGCCCGGTTTCAGTGGCCAACATGGCTGGGGCCAGCATGGCATGCAGTACTGGGGATCGAACCCTGGTCCTTGTGCTTGCCAGGCAGATACTTAGACTGCTGAGCTATCTCCCTCACCCAGGAGAATTCTTAAAATTCCAAAATAACTGACATTTGACTGTTTGCCTTATGATCCATTTTGAAATACAGTGGTACCGCAATTCATAAACTTAATTTGTTCTGTGATTCTAGGAAAAATAGCCATGTTTGTGTTTGTGTAGAAAATGGTCCTAGTCATTAGTTACAAATGCAGAGCTTAAAAAAAAATTCTACCAAATGTTTCTATTTACAAACCATATTATTTTTTTCAAACCATATTATTTATAACCCACTACAATAATTTTTTGAGGGCCGGGGAGATGACTCAGTAGAATAAGCACTTCTCTGGCAAGTGTGAGGGCCTGAGTTCAATTCCCAGTTCCACCAAAAAAAAAAAAAAAATTTTTTTTTTTTGGATAAACATTTTACAGTATTAAAATGATTATTTTAGGGCTGGCAAAATAGCTCAGTGGACTAAGCGCCTGCTTTGGCAAGTGCAGGGACCAGGATTTGTTCCCCTGTCTCCCATGCCATGCCAGCCCTGACCCCAGGCCCACGGAGCCAGGCAACTGAGAACAGGCGTGATGGTGCATGCCTGTAATCCCAGTGCTGGGAAGACTGAAAACAGGAGGATCACTAGGAGAGCTGCGCAGTGAGACCTTATACCAAACACATAAAATAAAATTTTTTTAAAAAAAGATTATTTTAAGTGTCATTTTTTTTCAGACAAGCTGTTGAAGTGCTGGCCTGGCAAGCACAAGGGCCTGAGTTCAATCCCCGGTTCTGCCAGAAAAACAAACAAGCTGTTGGTGGGATTAGTTACAAGATTCAGTACAACTTTCAGATGTCGCCATCCCTCAAATATTATTTTTCATTTTATATATAGCTTAATAAGATCTCATTGTTTAAGAAAATATATTGGGGCTGGCGAGATGACTCAGTGGTCTAAAGCACCTACTTGGAACAAGCTTGGCAAAGCACAGGGACCACGGTTCGATCCCCCAGCACCACATGCCAGCCAGCCCCCTGCCCCCTGGTGGGCTGAGCTGGCCACACACACACTAAATAAATAAAATGTTAAAAAAAAAAAAATATATATATATATATATATATATATATATATATATATATAAACTACAAAGCATATTTTGTATTTCATTTATTAAACTGGATATTATATTACAAGAATTTTTATATTTTGTATTAGGATAGACATCTTATTAAATATGACTCTATTTTATACTGTTTGCTAAAGAGCCGGGTTATGTGTAATGTCTAAATTATTTGGACAGAACAATAATGAATTAACCAGATATTTCTTTTGCAGTTTTATATGACTTCCAGGGAAATCAGGCTGAGACAAAAAATGAAGCATGAAAAGGACAGGTGAGTTCGGCAGCTGTGCCCTGTACGTTCTGTCTCCCTCTCACCAGGCAGGCAGTGCCTTCAGAATTGCAGTGTTTACAGGTCGTTCTGTTCAGTAAACAAAATTATGGGTGATATCATTGTCTTTTCTTCAGAATTTGCTTTCAAATATTATTTGTGCCATTCAATTTTTTTTTCTTTAATCTCTTATCTATTTGGTACAGGGTCTTGCTACGCAGCTCAGACTCATAGTGATCCTCCTGTCTCAGCCTCCCCAGTGCTGGGATTATAGGTGTGTGCCATCACATCTGGTTTCGATGGCTGGCATGACTGAGGCCGGCATGGCATGCAGTACTGGGGATCGAACCCAGGTCCTTGCGCTTGTTAGGCAGGCGCTTAGACTGCCAAGCTATCTCCCCAGCCCGCCATTCAACTTTTATGACTTAATTTTACTTTTCTGCTTTTCCTAATCCTGGGGTGTATGTGCATTCGGGAAATACCCCAGTGGCCCCATTATTGTATTTAACAACACACTAGGACATAATGGTTTTCAGAAATCTGATGAAGAGGAGGATTTGAAAAGCATTGAGAAAAGCAAAAGCACCATATTCCCTCCAGAAATATGAACTTAAAGTGACTCTGAGTAAATGATGTTTAATTCGTTCATTCATTTCTTTTTCTGAAGATTGCTGCTGTCTAGCCACTACAGTGAGCGAATCTCCCAAGCCTATAGTCTGATGAGTGAGCTGCTGGCAGAGTCAGGACAACTACCAGCAGCTGCCCAGAAACCACTGCCTGGCACGCCCGGCCCTGCTCGGCATTGTACACAACAGCGCTGCTCTTCCCCTAGGTGGTAAGACCCAGTTTGGTGTGTCATTTCACAGAAGAATGGCAGGCCTGATGAGACTTTCCTGACCCAAGTTCAGTGTTTTGCATCTACCCTGCTTAGAGTTATGATGACGAAGTGAAGAAAAGACATAGCCGTATAATTATGAGGACTACATGAATCTATAGACTCGACAAGGGAGATGATAAAACTGTATATCTGTTCAGTCTTCATGTTTTCTTTAGTTTCAATTCTGATACAAAATACCTGATACCCAAAGAGAAGGGAAGAAAGATTTATTTTTTATTTTTTTGGTACTGGGAATTGAAGAAAGGTTTATTTTGTAGCTCACAGTTTGTAGAAGTTTCAGTCCACAGTCAGCTGGCTGCTCAGGGCACTATGGAATGAGGGGATGGTGGAGGAGAAACAGCCAGTGGCTGGACAGGCAGAAAGCAGCAGCAGGCAGCAAAGTGAAGCAGTGAAAGCCTCCCTCCGCTCTCATCTCATCCAGGCTACAAGTATGGGGTAGTACCACCCACACGCAAAGCGGGGTTCCCATTACCCACAGCCAGAACTGTGCTAAGCCAGTCAGTGGATTAATTTAATGATCATACATAGTAGTCTAAATTCACATATGCTTAATCCAGCCACTTCCAAAAAGCCCCCACTAGTGAGCCTAGAGGTCTTGACAGCACATCTAGGTACAAGCCATAATGATGTCTGTTCAGATTGGCTTCTGTAATTTCCTCTGAACTGTGTCCCTTGGGGAGATGGCTCAGTAGAATAAGCGCTTCCCTGGCAAGCACAAGGGCCTGGGAAGTTGGAGTTCAATCCCCGGTTCCACAAAAAAAAAAAAAAAAAAAAATCACTAGAATGAACTGTGTCCCTTGTTTTTCACCCACTGTCTTCTCTCTGGTAGAACTGTCAACCCCCACTGCTGGCCACTTCTCCTTGCCCACCCTCCTTGTCTGGTTATATTCATCTAATTGTGCCATTATTGTATATTTCGCCTTAATGTGTAGCTATAAGTCCACTGGGCAGAAATCATTAAGTATCGAGTGTTACAGTATCCAGTCTAAATTTCTTATATATGGCAAATAAATATGCAGAGTTAGGTCTGGTGATGATCCATGTTATAAGCATGAATTATAAGCAGTTTTAAAAATTACCACCTTTAACAAAGTAAAGATTAGAATTGTAAACATAACTTAGGCGGTCATAACAAAGGCTATATATCAGATATAATCCATTCATCTATACAGAGTATGGCATTTACTCAGAATACCGAAAGTTCCATTTGAATCTTTCTCAGAATGAATCAGGTAAATAACTGCCAAATATATGGAGAATTTAAAATGGGTAGAATTAACTAAAAACAATTTCTTTGAAAAAACTGAAAGAAGTTTGATTTTGTATGGCAAATAATTACTCATGGGTTATCGATATTAAATGTAACACCACTGAGGTGAATAAGCAGTGTTAGAGAATATATTAATCTGGGCCATAATTTGGGGTTTTTTAATATTAAATTTAAATATTAAATATGAAGTGACACTCCAGGGGTATAATGTGTAGTTTCTGTTGCAGTGAGAATCAGCGTGGGTACAATTTTCCAGTAAATCGACCTGGAAAAGTCAGATATGGATCCAAACCAAGTTATGCCCATACAGGGAGACCTCTTGGGCCTCCTCAGGGCTCACCCCAGCCACATGGTAAGGTTTACAGCTCTTTGTTTTGCAGGGAGAGGGGGCATTGTTTTTATTAGTACAAACTTCCGCATATAATGATCACATCCTTCATAAGGAATTTGTACCTACCTGCGATTAGAATGTCTCAATCCCCCTCACTTCCGTTCCCTTCAACCTTTCTCCCTCCCCATTTAAAGTTCTTTCATCTGGGGCATCTGTACTTATCCCTTCTTGTCTCCAAAGTTGTGGTTTCTTTAGTAAAAGCTACAAATCTTAGTAAAAAGGAATTCTGATTTCACCAGAATGTCAGGGATTCATGAAAGACTGCTGTATCACGATATTGTTCTTCTGCTTTGAAGTAAGAAGGGCCCTGTGAATCTTTTTAAACTAATTGCCTTTTTAATGGGATTTGAACAGTGAATTACTTGTAACTTTTGCATATTTGAAGATACAGCCGCTATTTACAACTAATTTTTCTTAATTTTACTGTTTGGGTTTTGAGTACTAAAGTAGGATATAGTTATGTTTAGAATGTTTATACACTAAATATGTATAAAAACGGATAACAAGATAGTATAAATATATGCTGTTGAAAGTTCTAGTACCATATGTACCAGGTTCTACTCTTTAATTACAGGTTTATGCTGTTTAATTTCAACCCTATGACATAGGAATTATTATGTTCTCATTTTAAAGATGAGGAAACCAAGGCACAGAAAGGTTAAATAATTGCCCGGAAGTGGTAGAACTAAAACTTAATCCCAGTCTGGGTCTAGTACTTATATGCTCAGAACTTGCACCTCAATATGCTGCCTTAATTTACAAAATAGAGATTTTCTAAATTCCAGTCCATTGATAAAATTTAATTATTGCTTTTGATTGTCAAATTTCAGTTTAAAAAAATCCTTAAAACTAGAATTTTAGGTCTGGGAATGTAGCTCAGTGGCTCACCTGCCTGGCAGGTATGGGGCATATAGTATTTGATTCCTGGTACAAAAAATAATATTAATAATAATAAACAGATTTTCAAAATAGTGAACCATGCTTTCTTTAAAAATTTTTTTTGTTATTGTTTGCTTTGGGCCGCAGAAATAGCTCATCGGACTAAGCGCCTGCTTAGGCAAATGCAGTGAGCCGGGTTCCATCCCCTGTACCAGGTTCTATCCTCAGTACCGAATGCCATGCCAGCCCTGCCCCGGGCATGGTAGCATACACCTGTCATCCCAGCGCTAGGGAGGCTGAAATGGGAGGATCACCACAAGTCCGAGCTGCATAGTGAGACCCTGTACCAAATACATAAAAAAAAAAAAAAAAAAAAATCGTATTTCCTATGTTTGCCAAAACTAAAGAAATTCTAAATTGGCCAAATTTTAAAGCCCTAAATCTTGCTTTTTTAGTATCTGAGGGGAAGGTGTTGGATTACCTGGAGGTGTGTCTTCCTCTACATCTGTCCCACCTCAGGCTGTAGGTGTCCCCCGCATTGACTGTGGCTGTGTCAGCCACCCTCTGTCTGTCTCCTGTGCCTCCCCTGCCTGGCCTTCGTGCCATCCGCCACCTGTTCTTTCTGCTTCCTCTGCCCCTTCTCCCCACATAACCAGGGCTACATTACAGCTCTTTTATCAGCCACTTGCTGTGCCTTTGTATTCCTATTCCTTAGGTGAAATTCTAAGACTTATACTTACAAGTAAGTGGCATTTCTGTGTCTTTTGAAGACATCCCTGATCTTAACTCTAGTTCTTTGAAATATATTCCGTTTTAAAAATCAATTATTTTATTTTATTTTATTTTTGTCTTTTTGAGACAGGGTCTCACTATGCAGTTCAGGCTGGCCTTGAGCTCACTATGTAGCCCATGTAGTTGCAGTGATCCTCCTGCCTCAGCCTCCTGAGTGCAGGGATTCAAAGCTTGCACCACGCCCGGCTCTATTGTCCTTTCTGAGTTGAGGCTAATATATTTTGGTTTGTGAAAACTAGTGGTAAATGGTGACTTAAAGGACCAGCCAAATAGCTCAGCGGATTAAAGCACACTGGCCCTGCCCCTGGGGCGCACTGAGATGGCAATTGAGACTGGGCATGGTGTCACAGATTCCTGTAAGCCCAGCGCTTGGGAGGCTGTACACAGGCAGATCACTATGAGTCACATCTAGTAGTGAGACCCTGAACACACTGTAGATCCTTCCCTAAAATGCAAAAAAAAAAAGGTGACTTAAGTAGTTGTTTCTCTGTTCTGTGAGTCCTTATTCACGTTTATGCCCCTCTTGAAGTACAACTATAATGTCTTGTGCCCTAGATGCTTGTGAACTTTGTGCCCTGCAGCAGACTACACCAGATAATAGCTGTGCTTGCTTCCTCATCTCTACATTATGCCTCACACTGAGCAAATGAAATACTTGAAGAATTGGATATATTTTAAATGATTCTTTTCCCCAAATAGCTGTATATAAACAAATTATTACAATATTAATGACTGGGGATCTGAGCACTTATACCATGTCAAACAACATTATCATGTGTCTGGCTGTTATCCTCACCTGTCACTTACTCTCAGGAAAGGACTAGGTTTGAGAGTCATCCAGACCTAGGTTCATACCCCAGCTCTACTGTCTAATTGTTGCCCTTAGATATTCCGAGATAATCACATAAAGTTTACTACTCTTGTGGTGGTGGTACATTCCTCTAGTCCAGCCTCTGGGCAGGCTGAGGCAGGAGGGCCTGTCTGCCTGTCTGTCTGTCTGCCTGCCTGTCTGTCTGTCTATCTATCTATCTATCTGTCTATCTATCCATCTTATCTGTTTATTTAATTTGGTTCAGGGTCTTGATTTGCAGCTCAGACTCCTAGTGATCCTCTTGTCTCGGCCTCCCCAGTGCTGGGATTACAGGCATACACCACTAACACCTGGTTTCAGTGGCCGGCTCAGCCTCCCCAGGGTTCCAGGGCCAGCACAGCATGCAGTCCTGGGAATTGAACCCGGATCCTTGTGCTTGCCAGGCAGGCACTTAGACCGCTTAGCTGTCTCCCCAGCTCAGGACTCTTTTTCTTTTCTAGGAGTTGAAGGCCAGCCTGGTCAGCATAGTAAGACCCAACATCTAGAAATGAACAAGTAAAGAGAACCTACCTCAGAGAGTTGTTGAGGATTATAAGTAAAACATTTTGCAATTATTTGCAAAGATTAAATTTAAGAAAACTTAATTTGGACCTTAATGTAGAACACTTAGCTACCAAGGCTGAGGCTGTTTGGTCCCTAGCACTACAAAACAGGAAGAAACCTCAACCATTCTCTTGATGAAAGTTAACTTGGCATTTTATGTAGGTGTTTACTGCTAATAAGCTTAATATGATCCTGGTTTTCCTAGCTGCCAGAGATACTCTCAGACTGCATTTGCCGTTTGAAAAAGGGGCATCACGGCATCCTAAGTGTGCCAGATCCCAAAGTGCCGCTTTGCTCTTCCACGCCTGCAGCTTGTTTTTCTTTGTTGGTCCAAGGGAACCACCGTTTACTGCGCTCCTACTTGAGCAGTTTTGAAGCAGATTCAGAGCTGATCGGATGCTTTAGTTTCTGTCCTCAAAGCACTTCCAGGATGAAAGGTGGAAACTCACGGCTGTGTTCCGGGAGTTCAGTGGTCACATCTGTTTTCTAGGAGCTGCCGTCCAGAGAAGAGCACGCGGAGCCACAGCGGCAGCAAGGAAAGCTATGCAGGCTTCAGTTACCTTACGGAAAGGTAAGGGATAAGGAAAGAACAGAAAGTTCTTAGAATTAAGACTAAGTTTTAAATCATTACACATCACTCTGGGAAATTACAAGTATCAATTTAAGGAAGAAGAGTATGGATTTTGTGTGGTTTGGCGCCTCACAGAAGAGCGTGTGAAGGTAGCTTTTCTGCAGTTGTAGTTCAGTGCTCACTCTAACCTGGGGCACATTTCTGGCCCCATTTATGTCATTTTCAGTTTTTCCTCCTACAAAATACCAGCTGTAGCAGTGCAAGTGCACAAGGCAACGCTGGTCAGTAAGCAGAACTGCTGTGTCATCCCCATCTTACAGCCAAGAACACCAAGGCTGAGAAGAGACCTTCGCATCTCCTTTGAATAATAGAAAGAGTAGATACAGAACATGAACTCCACGTCAGCGATGGCGAACCTCTCAGAGCTTTCAGTGAGATGAACAGCCCGCTGTGGCACTTGTGCACAGGTTCACCGCCGCTGCTCTGTGCCAGGCATTATGTTAACACCTGATGTTCATGATCTTAATTATCATGTTGATCGAATGAGGTCTGTTGCGTTATCCCCATTTAAAGACAAGAACTGCATTGGGTGGGGTTAAGGATAGAGAGAAAACAACTTCCATGCACTATAAAAATGATGAGATGTAGAAATAAGATGAAGTCCGGCTGTTATGCCTCTCCACTAATATTTCCTTTCTTACCAAATCCATTTTTCAGTTTAGTGTATTTCTATGTCTGATCTGGTGTTTAACTCATTCATCAGGTATTTAATATCAGTGGCTATATTTGGTGGTGGGGTGGCTAGGGAATGAACCAATGGTCTTTATACTGAGCTATGTCCCCAGCCCTTTAAAAAATTTTTGAGGGCTGGGGAGATAGCTGAGCAGAATAAGCGCTTGCAGGTCCCAAGTCCGATCCCTGGTACCGCACCAAAAAAAAAAAAAAAATTGAGACAGTGTCTCACTAACCCACTTAAGTTGCCAAGGTAGGGCTTGAACTTGGAGTCATTTTGCCTCAGCCTCCAAGCATGCTAGGATTATAGGCAGGCATCACTGTGCCTACCTTAAGGGCTATATTTTCTAAAACTTTTGTGGTTCTGTTTCCATTCTTTTCCACATGTATACATTAAAACCTTAGTTTCTTGTCATTAGGAGCAATATGAGTACTAATAGCATAATGTCCTGTGCTTTTAATTTTATTTTTTTTCTGTGCTTTTAATTTTATAATCTTCATAATCTTTAAGATTGATATATAAGATATGTAAGATAAGTGAAAGTAGAAACATTGTGATCTCTCAGAAGTAAAAGGGCTCATAAAAGACTATTATATGTCAACAAATTTGATAATATAGAGTCAACAGATAAGTTCCTAGAAAAATGCAAGCTATGAAACTTGAATCAGGAAAAAAGAGACCACTAACAAAGAAATAAAAGTAGTGATTAAAACCTCTCAACAGAGGAAAACTTAGGAGCAGATGGGTTTACAGCTGACTTCTGCCAGACTTTCAGAACAGAACTAACACTAAACTCCTCAGAAAATATAGCTGGAAGGAATTCTTCCAAATATTTATGAGGCCAGTATCACCTCGATACCTAAGCCAAAGACCTATAAGATAGTGTCTCTGATGAGCAGTTATGTAACAATCTTCAATAAAATATTAGCAAATCTAACTCAACAATGTATCAAAAAGATTACACATCATAATCAAGTGGGAAAACCTTCAACATATTAAAGGCCATTCCTAGAACATCACACAGCTAACATCATGACCCGTGGAGAACTGCAGCTTTTCCCCTTAAGACCTGGCACAGCAGGAATGTATTTCTGGCACTTCTGTTCAAGACAGTACTGGAAATACTAGCAAGAGTAGTTAGAGGCATACATAAAAGGCTTCCAAATCAGAAAGGAAAAAAATTAAATGATGTTTATTTGCAGATAAAATCATTCTATATGTAAAAAAAAATACCTGCGCCAGGGAGATGGCTCAGTAGAATAAGTGCTTCCCTGGCAAGCTCAAGGGTCTGAGTTCAATCCCCGGTTCCACCAAAAAAAAAAAAAAAAAAAAAAACCTGAAAAAATTACAGAAAAAGCTAATAGAGATAGTAAATGAATTGAGTAAAGTTTTAGATACAAAATCAATATACAGAAATTCTTTACACACAATAATGACCTAGCAAAAAGAAAATAATCCTATTTATAAAAGTATTAAAAAATACTTTGGGGGGCCAGCGAGATAGCTCAGCTGTCCAACGTGCCTGCTTAGGCAAGCTCAGGCAGGTGCAGAGGACCGCAGTTCGATTCCCAACACCACATGCTGCGCCAGCCCCGCTCTCAGGGTGGGCTGAGCCAGCCCCGCCCTCACAAAAATACTTTGTAATAAATTTAACCAGAGAAAGGTAAGACCTGTACAATAAAAAAATATAAAACACTAGTGAAAGAAAGAACATAAAGAGTAAGATAGTTGATATTTATGAATTATGATTTAATATTGCAAGAATATACATAGTACTTAAAGCAAGATACAAATTCAGTGCAATTCCTATAAAAATCCCAATGACACTTCTCACTGAAAAAGAAATCCTGAAATAAGTATGGAACTACAGAAGATCTCAAAATTGGCAAAGCATGTCAGAGGAAAAGTTGGAAACATCTCACTTTCTGATTGTGGGCTGTGGGTGTAACTTAATGGTAGAATGCTTGCCTGGTATACATGAGTTTAATCCCCAGCAACACACACAAACACACAGACACAGGACACACACATTTGTAAAATTGAAGTTATACTACAAAGCTGTAATAAAACAGTATGATACTGACGTAAAAACAGATACATAGGATGGGGATATAGCTCAGCAGCACACTGCCTGCCAGGCAAGCATGAGATCATGAGTTCAATGCCCAGTACCAAGAATAAATAAAATTATTTTTGTAAAAAAGCAGATACATAGACCAGTGAAACAGGATAAAGATTTAAAAACTACATGGTCAGGACTGGGGAGATAGCTCAGCAGTCTAAGTGCCTACCTGGCAAGCACAAGGACTTGGGTTTGATCCCCAGTACCACATGCCATGCTGGCCACTGATACACTGAGGTGTGGTGGTGCATGCCTATAATCCCGTGCTGGGGAGGCTGAAACAGGAGGATCACTAGGAGTCAGAACTGCATAGCGAGACCCTGTACCAAACACATTAAAAAAAAAAAAAAAAATGTTCGACTCATTCTTAACAAAAGTGCCAGAATGACCACAATGAAGAAAATTGAATCTCCTCAACAAATGGTCCTGAATATGGGCATGGTGGCACACACCTGTAATCCCAGAACTCTGGGCATCTGAGGCAGGAGGAGTGCAAGTTTGAGTCTTATATGGGCAACTTAGCAGACCTTGGCTCGGAATGAAAAATGTTGGTAGGTAGCTCAGTGCAAAAAGACTCTGGATTCAGTCCCTACTTCCTGAAAAAAATGATGCTTGCAAAGCTGCTTGTCACATGCTGAATGAAGTTGGGCCCTGTATTGTTCAACCATCCATCGCTATGACAAAATGCCTTAGGTTCTCAGGTTCTACGAAAGAAAGCTTTATTTCAGCTCATGGTTTAGAAGTTTCAGTCCAGGGTGGCTTGTCCCCATTGCCTATGTGCTATGGTGCTGTAGTAGGTCATGGCAGGAATGTGTGGCCAAGGATGCTGTTCACTTCTTGTCAGCCCAGAATCAAAGTACAAGAGGGGGCCAGGCCCCAGTGTCCCCTTCAAGGGCGTACTCCCAGGGACCTGACTTCCTTCCACCAGGCCAGTGGTGGCCAGCCTCTGCACCTGTTCCTCAGTGGGCTGTTTGCATCCTTGAAAGCTCTAACAGGTTTGCCATCGCTTCCCAGGCCCACCTGCGGAAGGGTCTACCCCTCTCGCTAGTGCCGCAGGCTGGGACCTGCACCTTCACACGTAAGCCCTTGGGGACAGTCAGGGTCCCAGCAACAGCATTCTTCCCTGGTTCGCAGAGGCCTGTGTCCATCTCACAACGCGAGACACACTTGGTCCATTTCGGTTTTTCATTTTTCCAAAGTTTAAGTCCAAGCCAATGCTTGGTAAGATGAGGCAGGAATTTGAGCCTGGGAATTCAAGGCCCAGTCTGGTATCACACCAGTACCTTGCCTCTGAAAACAGTGAACATAAATTTTTGGCAACATGAGATCACAGTGGTTCCTCACTTATCACAGAGGTTATGTTCCAGACACCCCTGCCATAGGTGAAAAACCAGCGAAGTAGTTACGTTACAGTTATTTTAGTGTGTATATATATTTTAAGGCTTTATAAACCCTGCCTACACTCTTATAAACCTTCTCCACACTTCTAGAAACAGTTCTAATATTCTTAATCGTTTTCTAAACTAGTAAACCTATGTAATTTTAACAACCTATGTATACTCTATGGTACAGTATTTTATTTCATTTTAATATTTTGTATGTTAGAATTA